TCATTTTCTAACAAATACTTATATATTTAAAGATATAATATAATAAATAATCATAATTTTATATATAATACAAAAATATTAATATAAAACAATGAAAGAAATAATAATAATAAGTAGATAAAGAAGATAAAAAAATAGAAAATATTAATAAGAATTTATTACATTAACATAATAAATAAAATAACAAGAATCATTATAATGAATTATATTTTTATTAATATTTAAACAATTAAAATATAAAATTAATTATTGACAATATCTTTTATATAAAGTTTATTTAATTTAAATCATAAAATACAAGAAAATAAATTAACTTAGGAATTAACCAAATACAAGATTTTTTATATTATTATATTAACTTAACAAAAAAAAAACAATAAACAAAAGAGAATAAGATTCTTTTTACTAAAATTATTTATCAAATGAAATATTAATTAATAATAATTTATTAAATTTTATTTGACTTTGACTGTTATCTTGGATTCAATAAAAAAAAAATAGAAAATAAATAAATAAAGAGTTAACATAATAATGAATGAAGTGAATGTGTAAATTGAATTCCTTGGAGATGTGATTCATGAATAGAACATAATTTATCTTGGTCATCTTCAAGAAATATATTATCAAAAGATTTAAATAATGAATTGATAACCATTTTGTTAGTAACTCTCACAATAGCTTTGTAATAATCATTATCTTGTTTCAAACAGAAAAATTGGTCATAAAAACATGAAACACACTTCTCTATCCTATTAATTAATTCATTTGAAGAAAATGTCATAGGAATATTATTAATAACAATAACACTTTTATATTCATCTACATCTTCACCTTCATTTAAACCAATTCCTTTGATTTGATTAATAGATTCACTATAATTAATAAGATGAGGTGTTCCAACACTTTCATTTCCAATAAATCTTTTACTTAACTCTTCACCAACAACAGTTGGTTTTGGTAATGAAATAGTAAAAGATTCATTTGTTATTTCATTCATTATTTCTTTTGTTTTAATTGATTCATCAATTAGTTTAATCATTTCATGTGGTGGTGGTAATCCAATAAGATCATTAGGTAATTTTAATGCATTAACACAACGTAAAATGAGTTGTTGTCTAATTCCACCAGGTCTGGATGGTTCAATTTTTATTTTTCTTCCTTTCATTTCAAAATGGTTTAACTTTTCAATTGCTTTCTGTGCATTTCTTAAGTCATAATATTCAATAAATTTGTGATGTTTTTTATTTGGTGTCTCACGAATTTCTTTGATATCTCCATATCTTCCAAACACATCTTTTAATTGTGTATTTGTGATTGAATATTCAATGTTAAATACTACAATTGTTCCTTGATTTTGTTCATTATCATTTAAAACATCTTTTGCAATTGCATATGATACTGAATATTTATTTTGTAGTAATCTATATACTGTCTTTGCATCTCTTAGATCAAAGTATGAAATAAGAATAAAATGATATGAGTTTAAACATTTATCATAAACTGCTTTGATTGTTCCACTTCCTTTGATTTTGTTTTTAATGTTTTCATATTCATTTCTACAAATCCCTGAAACAAATATAATTCTACTTGGATGTTCACCACATTGATATTCTTTTAATGCTTCTAATTGCCTTCTAAGTGTTAACAATGAAGTAGAATGTTGTTGTGTATTTTCATGTAAATTCATTGTTTTGGTATTGTTATTTTTTTCACTTTTACATTGTGTCTTTTCACTTTCTTCATCTTATCATTTTGTCATCTTTTTATTCTTTTGTTTTATTAAACAAAATGTAGTATTATATTTATTTCATATTTACAATACATTATATTAACATAATAAATTATTAAGTAAAAAAATTTAAATAATAATAATGAGAATGTATATTATTTTAATAACTCAGAATATAATAATTATATCAAATAAATTATTACATGATTATTTATAATAAATAAGTCATTAATAACAACAATTATTTCAAATAATCATATTAATAATTTTAATATAAATAACAATAATTATTGCTTTAAATTTTTAAATAGGTTATATAAGATTTCTATCTAAAAGAAATTACATATTATCTTTTTTGTTATTAAATTTATTTTTAATCATTTTAAACAAAATAGATTAAAAATAATTAATTTCATTTATTCTTTATTTTTTATTTATAATTTCATTATTTCTATTGTTTATTATATTAATTTATTCTTCTTTTATAATGTTATTTCTAAAATAAAAAATATTCTTTTTTTGAGTACTTATAAATGAAGGTTTTAGTATAAATTTATTATTTTTATTCAATCTATAAATAATCATTTGTTTATTAATATTTTTAATGATATTTAAAAGATTATTTATTACTTTAAATTATTTGTTGTAGAAGTTTTTTAGATTAAGATTATTTATATTTGATATTAATAATATTTTATATTCTTATTTAATATTAATTTAATTGTTATATTTTCTTAACTCTCTAATAATAAAGAAGTTGATAAATTATTAGTTAGTAATTATTTTGATCTATTTCTTAATATAACGATAAATAAAACATTATAAATATTAAAAAATAGATTTTATAAATAATATATAAATGTATAATGTTTAAACTAATAAACTGTTAATTTATAACCGTTATTTATTATGTATCTCTCTTTAAAACTTTATTAATTATACTTCTATTATATGAATAAAAGATTATAACAATTATTAAGTATTAATTTAAAATAAATATTAAACATTTATATTTATTAATTTCTTTTAATTATTACTTAATTGAATAATATTTACATTTTTAAATTGACTATTTAATAAAATATTTAATAAACTATTTATAATTGAAGATTATTTTATTGTTTCTTTTATAAGTTTGTTAGTAAATATATAAATATTTTTATGATGAATTAGTAATTTTAAATAACATACAGTATAGTCATAAATAACTTTTTTAATTTGATAAATTTCATTTTGTTTTTTTTTTGATGTATTTTATTAGTATAATTTACATTAAATTCATCATAATAAAATATTTTATTTATGTTATTTAATATATACTATTCAATTTACTAAAACTTTGTATATTATTAAATAAAAATGAGTTTATTTCTTGTCAATAAATTAGAAAATGAATAATTTTAACCTTTTGTAATATTCTTTGTAATATTCTCAATATATTTCATTAAATATACTGTATCATTGTTTAATTATTAAATCAATATTTCAATCTAATATTTTAATTAATTTTTTTTAAATTCAACATTTTCGCTACTATTAATTAATATATTTTCCTTATAATTCTATTCACTAAATTATTAAAATTATTATATAATTGAAATTATATAGTTTTATATATATTTTCAATATTGTTTGGTTATCTTTAATTTTAACATATTTTTACTTTTTTATGTATTATAATATCTTAATTTTCTTTATTTATTTAAATTTATTCTTAAGTATTACTTAATATTATATTTTATATTTAATTTGTGATTTCTTTTGATTTTAAACATCTTGTTCTATATCTTAGATATTCTAGTACTTTAATTTAACATTTCTCCACCTCTTTTGATATTATTATTATCTATAGTATAATACAAAAATAAAAGATTAGGAAAATAAAAATAACAAGAAATAATTATAGTTTTACATGTAAAATAATTATTTGTAATTTAATAATTATGAAATACTAATTAATATGATTAGTATGATAGAAACATGAGCTGTACACTTTTTTAAATAAAATTTGTTATTATTTACAATAAATATAAATAATCAAGATAAAATAAATAAAATATTAATGAATTATTATTTTTATTGTTCTATTTTACATCAATAATATGAGTATAGATATTTGAAGTTAATCTAAGTTGCTGAGATAAATAAATTATAAACATGAAATAGTACAAATGATAAATTTAATTAATTTTATTTGTTAAAGACAAAATATTTTCA